GCCCCAAAAAAAAAAAAAAAAGAAGAAGACTAATGCTGTTTTTGATCGTTTAATTGAGGTCAACAATTTAACATGTGATAATGAATGATATAAAAAATTAAATTTTAAACAAGCATTAAAAAAATAATACAAATATATTGGATAGTTTTATCAATCAAACCAAATTAGAAAAAGAAACAAAAAGAGGGGAAAAAATGTTCTCCATATGCTTTTAAAAGTGGCATTAGAATACTACAGATGATTTCCTCTCCCCCAAGTTAGATATAAATTCAATTCGTGCTCGTCCCTTCTCGTCTTATTATTATTATTTTTTTAATCTGTTCTATTCCAATCGGAGCGTTTGGGAATTATACTTTAAAAAATGACGCAAATTAAACTCTTTTAAATCATCGTGTATTTATCTTATAGAAAGCAAAATTATTTAAAATAATAATTTAAATTTCTTTTGATGAAAAAGTCTAAATTTAATACTCATATTTCATATAGCATTGCAAGATTAAAATGTCATTAATAAAATTATATCAACCGAGAAATTGCCGGGTAGCGTAGGTAAGTGTCCATGCAGTGAAATGTTTAATAAAATTTAATGTAAAGCGAGCGTTCCACCGAGGGGATGGATCGGAGGCAAGTTGGCTTCATGCTCTGGTGCTCATGCCCTTATCCCCACAGATAACGTTTCCATCTCTTACGCTCCGAACATGTCGAGCCCAACAAAAACAGATCCAACGACAGATCTGCCCGGACTGCTGCCTCGACTCAAGAAGACCTTCGACGAAACCGTTGAAGATGTTTCATTAGCCAAAGATGTCAACAAGACGATCGACCAGTATTTGAAGAATCAATTCCTACTGGACGCCAAGTCGCAACAGGAACTGCGCCCCCGATTCCGGGAACTCGATCGCCTCTGCAGAACTACTGAACCCTCTCATTTCCGTTCTATCCGTGAGGAGCTCATTCACATAAACGAATTTCTGGGCCAACGTGCCAGTGAGGCCAATCAGCACGATTTCCAAGCTTTATCTGAGACGGAGCTGAATATTATAAACCACGCGGAAGAGGATCAGCTCGTGAAACATCTTCGGGCGAGTTATGAATTTTTCTGCGGGCTTGATGAACTTAAGCGTGACCCGAGAATTTGCTTGTTTCTGGCAATTTTCCCTGGAAATGCTGTTCTGAGAAAAAGATTTCTTATTTATTGGTGGATTGGAGAAGGGTTGGTCCTGGACGAGGAAGAAGGCGAAAAAGTATTTGAAGAGCTTTTAGATTTAGAATTACTCATACCCCATGGCAAGTGCCCGAGAGTGAGTAAATGTCAAATTTCCCCTTGGGTCCGTTGCATGTTGATCGCACTGGCCAAGAAAGAGATGCTTTTGGTCATAAAGGAAGAGGAAAAGATACCACGTTTTGATCTTGCCCATTCCCGGCGGACTTGTTTGATCGCTGGTCACTCCTCTGATTCGGGAATTAAAACAGAATCCACACCGCCGGAGAAGTCGAGGACCATTTTTAATGTGAATGAGAGAGATCTTCATTTTCAAGACCAATGGCTTGCTAAACTGAAGACATTGATGGTGCTTCAGCTTGGTCGTTGGCAGGTTTCTCCCACCCATCACATCGAAGTTCAAGATGAATCGTTCCTAACCGGAGGTTTGAAGACCCAGAAACTCCTCAAGTATCTCAGCCTCCGTGGGATTTCAAGAATAACTTCACTTCCTGAGTCCATCAGAGAACTGGTCAGCCTCGAAATTCTGGACCTCAAGGCTTGTCATAATCTAGAGACCTTGCCTGATGCGATTGCATCATTGGAAAAGCTCACACATTTGGATGTATCTGAATGTTACTTGATGGAAAGCTTGCCAAAGGGGCTCCACAACCTCCCTTCGCTGCAAGTACTTAAGGGATTCATAATAGGCAATTCACATAAGACTCTCATTAGATTAGAGCATCTTCCAAATCTGAAGACTCTGAAGCGATTGAGCATACATATAGGGAGTGAGGCTACCATTGAGAAAGATGATTTCAACAACTTGAAGGATTTGCCAAGGGTCAGGTGTCTGAAAATATCTTGGGGCAAAGAAGCCGTTTTAAAGTCTGTCTTTTCCGCCAGAGCTACAAAAACTGGATCTTGAAGGCATTCCTGACTATAATATGCCAGGATGGTTAACGCCTAGCAAACTGACGAATCTGGAGACCCTATACATTAAGGGAGGAAAGCTCAGGAATTTATCAAGTAATGGCGAGAAGTGGAAAGTGAAATATTTGGTCATCAAGTATACCAACATGCCGACAATAACCAGCGAAGAAATTCTCAAGCCTATGTTTCCTTCGCTCCAATACGTGAAGAAGGTTAGGTGGGTCACAAGTGGTAAGCAAGAAGAAGTTGAGTTTGAGTGGCCTTAAACACGGACGAGGCCATTGAGTTTCAAAAAAAATTTCCACTTCCAAATTGTATATGAAATAAAGGAATATTTGTGGCAGACAATTGTTTGGGGCCTAATATTATCATTTTCCCAACCAAGATCATACAAGAGATGATACTCTCCTCTGTTTCTGGTTGATTTTATGTTTGCCTTATCATCTTGTTGTTTGTATTGGGTGTTATTGCTGATGAAGTCTTTTGATTTTCACAATTCAGAGGGTTAATTAAAAAAAAAATGTTCAGTCGCATATTTACATCAAATCTTCTTCTTTTGTGCCATGTATGTTTAATGTCATATAGATTGAGGTAAAAGATGATAGCATAACCAAAACAATTTATAAGCTTGACAAGTTTACTCTCCTATTTTGAACAAAAACAAAGAATTGAGATAAAACAACACCAAATTCATCCGTAGGAAACATTGGTCTGCTACTCTCTGTACTGCTATATATGATGATTACGAAATTAATGAAAAAAATAAAAGTACCTAAAGAAAAAAAAAATTCAAATAGAATACGAAGTTATGAAAAAAAATAAAAAAATAAACTTGATGTTTTACTGCATTTCAAACACAAATACTTCGTCAACAATTATAAAAATTATAAATGATAAAAAATAATTATGTTCCTAAAATTTGACAAAATTAAAACTTGAGGTGTGTGGATATATATATGTACACACACATTTAAATCAAAGAGAAATACATACTTAAACTTTTTATTTCCTATCAATCGAGATATGTTAGTTTTTCATAAATTATTGATTTTATAACAATTTTTTTTATTAACATCAGTATTATTTTAAAATCTGGCCACTTGTTTTATATGATACTTTCAATATATTTTACACGGATCAAAAAAATCTTTGAATTGTATCAACTTTTTTTTAAAAAAAAAACAATTTTCCTACGTTATTTATATTTAATATATACATTTTTAAAAAAATAACTATCTACACTATAATAAGTAAAGAAAAAATTAATTTATCAATTTTTATAATTTTACTCAATTTTGAATCAGGTCATAAATAAAAAGAGATGAATATTAAATTTTAAGATTAGTTAATTTTTTAAGATTTTTATTGATTTCTAAGGTACTGAAAATCGGACTGGTCGATGAATCGGTCGAGACAGTGGGTCACACCGAGACTAACTTGGAACAGTCAGACCAGTAATAATTAAAATAAATTTAATTTAATTAAAATGCATAAATACTTATATTTTACCAATAAAAATAATATTTAATTTTTATTGAAATACCATGTGAAATTTTTCTTTCTTTTTTTATTCTCTCTCCTCACGTTACTCACTGGATTCTATCTTTCTATTTTTTCACTTTTTCCCTTCCCCACTCTCTTCCTTTTATGTCTCTCTCCAACCTGTGAATGCTCTCTTTGGCCCACTTCAACACGCATGAGTGATAAGATGACAAGATTTGTTGGTATCATCTACTCTTCTTTACTCCATGAGTAGCATTTTCAATGGCGATCACTTTGCTCTGTAGTTTGTATGCGTATTGCCACTTTGCTTTCCAATCGCTACTATGAGTCTGTGACTGCCATCGTGCTAAGTGCCAGCTCATCCATAGTCGTCATAGTGCCGATTGCGTCTCACCCTCTCCAAAGATCTCACGACAGTCGCCATCAGAACTGTCAAGGGTAGGCTAACATAACCACCCTCATCCCTCTTGTTCTCTATTAGTCTTCTTTATCACACTTGACACTGGGAAAGTATTCGGCTTAAAAGAAGGGGAAGAATAAATTAAAGAAAAGGAAAAAAAAATTAAAGAAAAGAAGGGGCCGCATGTACTGTTCTTAAATGATGGCTCCCTAAACATGGGGATGGAGATTCCCATATCCGTAACGAAATTTCCATCAACCACAATATGTAGAAATCCCCCCCCCCCACACACACACACTGGGCACACTCAAGGTTATAACTTGGTATTTTGTGAGGCTCAAACATGCTTTCTTCCATCTCACAATTTCAGAAGCTAATACGGGGCCAGTGGAACATTCGCATAATTATCCTCTTCAGTCTCTTCCTTCAGATCTTCTTCCAGATCTTCCTCATCATTTCTGCTCCCTACAGAAAACACATCAGAGGAGGCTTCTTCATATTCTTTGTCTGGTTGGCTTATCTTCTCGCCGACTGGGCAGCTGGCTACTGCATCAGACTCATCTCCAACAATCAAGAGCAAAAAGCCACCCTCACACAAAACGATCACCTCATGGCATTTTGGGGTCCTTTCCTTCTCCTCCACCTGGGTGGCCCTGACACCATCACTGCGTTTTCTTTGGAGGACAATGAGCTCTGGCTCAGGCACCTTCTCGGCCTCGTTTTTCAGTCAGTCACAACTGCTTATGTCTTCCTTCTGACGGTCCCTCGGAACCCATTATGGTTGCCGACGATATTGATGTTTGTTGCCGGATTAATCAAGTACGCTGAGAGAACCCACGCTCTGTACATCGCGGCCATCAATAATTTCAGGAAGTCCTTGCTTCCAGAGCCGGGGCCAATTATGCGAAGCTCATGGAGGAATACTCTTCTAGGGTGACGGCCGAGCTTCCGGCCGAAATAATCATGATTCCGAAGACTGGTGAGACGGGAAAGATGGGAGCAGAAATCAGGAAACAGAGGGAGAGAAAAATGAAGGGTAAAATTGACTTGTATTACTGAGTTAACATCACTTAGTAAAGCTCCCCTAAATAAATAGCAGATTAACAGATCTTATACTTTATCATTATTACAGTGTGTTAGCTCCTGTTGCGCCATCCAAAGAGGGAAAGGAGATCGTGGCGATTGATATTTGCAAACTTGGGTTGGTGCAGAAAGCTTTCTCCTTCTTCCTAAAGTTTCAAGGTCTCGTCGTTGACATGATATACAGCATCAAAGACCGGCACCACAGCCGGAGATATTTTGAAAGCAAATCGGCAGAAGAGGCCCTCATACTCATAGAAGTTCAGCTCAATTTCATGTATGAAGCTTTCTACACCAAGGCCTCGGTGATTCGCCAATATTGGTTCTGGTTCTGGGGAAAATTCGTTTCCTTAATGTCCATTACGGCCACCCTCGTACTCTTCATTAAGGCAGACAGGCATGGTTTCGACAAGTTGGATGTTAGGGTGACTTTTGCGTTGTTGTTTGGCGCTCTGTTCCTGGATGTCATGGCTCTTTTCAAGCGTTTTTTCACTGATTACACTGCTACCCTCTCCGATGAATCTCTAATAGATTCCTACGCAGCTTCTCCTTACCAACAATTCCGAATCAGAATCTTCAAGTATCTCAATGGAATATTTTTGTCGTGGTTCCTCAAGCGGGGGAATCTAACTTGGACACGAATCCAGAAAGGCCCTTACCAAGGCTGTCACAGATTGTCCACCAAATTTTTAATGCGCAGATGGTCTGGATCAATCACGGGGTACAATCTGCTGAGTTACAGCGTGAACGAGTCAGTTAAGAGGGATCCTGATAATCTATGCCTCAAAATCTGGGTGTATGTACAGGATTTATTCTATCAACGGGACAGACGATCTAATATTAAAGACCTCCTTGATCAATGGAGGTATGAATCCGAAAACCCGTTCGTGAAAGAGCTTTGGGAATACTTGTTCGAAAAGCTGAAAGAGAAATCAGCTGGTGCTCAAGATATAGAGGCCATCCAAAGCATATGTTCTGCTAGAGGAGAGAAGGTTGTCCAGAAAAAAAACTTAGAAACCCTGAAGCCATTTGTGGATCCCAACGAAGTTGCTTTTGATCAAAGCCTTCTACAGTGGCACATTGCTACTACTCGCTGCTCCACCGAAGACGCTAATAATGAAGAGAGTGCTACTAGTCTCTCTTCCACCGAAGACGCTAATAATGAAGAGAGACAAATCAGCATGCTTGTCTCAGATTACATGCTATACCTTCTGGTTATGCAGCCCAACATGATGTCCGCCATAGCAGGAATGGGACAAAAGAGGTTCCAAGACACATGTGAAGAGGCCAAAAGGTTCTTCAAGAGGAGGAGCATTAATGCTCAGGATATGCTGAAGAAAGCTTGCGACATTCTAATGGAAGTGCCAACAGAACAAAAACCCGTTGATGTGAAGAATTTGACAGATAACGAGAAATGGAAAATGATAGCTCGTGTGTGGGTGGAATTGTTGTCGTATGCCGCGTGCCACTGCAGGCCTACGGGACACGTCCAGTTATTGAGTAAAGATGGCGAGCTCATTTCCTCTGTTTGGCTCTTGATGGCTCAACTCGGTCTCAGCACTCAGTTTCAAATCAAGGATGGCGACGGGAGGGTCAAACTCATAGCGGCTTACTCCCACAATTAAATTGAGAGGAGAGGGTGATCCATTTATATATAATTGCCTGTGCTGATTTGGCTGGTTAAATTGAGAGGAGAGGGTCATCCTGAATATGTATGAAGACTAAAGTATACTTGGGTTAAATAGTGGAAGTGTAAGTTGTAGGTAAGTGTATTCAGCTTATATTAAATAATTATATAAAAATACTCATTCTTAAAATATTAAATCGAAGTCCTCAGCATTCAGACTACAAAAATTTACAGCTATCTATGGAAAAATTTAACACTCGGTGAGATCCATTACAGTACGTATTGTTATGCAACACGCGGCGGGCCAGGATTTCACTCTTACCTTTTACGGGGAAAGTTACCTGGCTTAGTGACAACAGCTTCATGTCATGTCATTTCTTTATTTAATTATAAGATGTTTTCTTTTTTAATTTGCTGAGTTCTGTGTCTCTAGATCCAAAGAAGTTTTTTTCCCCCTAATTATGTTGCTTTTATTGCGGAAAATATTTTCATGATTGATTTAGGTAATGCACGTCGGGCATTTCTCCCTTTACACCTAATTACTTCGTTTCTGTGGCAGCAATATTTTCACAATTGCTATCAATAATAAACTAATTTCTATAAGGCCACCCAATATGTATAAAACTAGGAGACTTTAATTTCTAGTTCCATGAAAAAAGGGGAATGAATGGTACTACAGGTTAATAAATTGTGTAAACTCCAAATTGATCTTGGGTATTATGTGAGAAGTCAACTTGTTTTTTTCCCAAAATAGTCTGCATTATAGGTCACTAAGTATGATGGTAATTACATTTTTACAAGGTTTCTCTTATTTAAAGTTTGATGCAATTTTTTCACAAAGTAGGGTAATTTCACTAACAAGACAGTTCTGTTCGATGTTCAAAACAATATTGTGCACTAATTGTGAATCTTTTTTTAAAATTTGAATATTGATTGGTCATGTTATTACTAAATCCAACCTCTATTGATTCTATCAAATATAAACGATTTTTTTTAAAAAAAATTGAGGATGAATTTTATTTCAAACGTACCATATAAAAAAGTTTCAAGTAATATTATATTATTCATATTCCTATTCCCCTTTCGATGTCTCTCTATTCCTTCATTATTCATTCAACATCATACCAACCACGTATTGCCATAGTAGAAGGAGACCGGTAAAACATACATACTCTCTAATTAAGAATGTTGATTCCCTCACACACACACACAGCAATTACTGCCCCACACACACGCACATATTCATCGTTCTTCTTCGATCTCTTTTTTGTTTTCTTCGTATGATTTCCTGTGCATGCCTTCATGCAATTCCATCTCTGCTTCTGCTTCCTTAATCTCGAACTTGCCCTTTTCATTTCCCAATAATGAGTAAGACAGTAAAAGCGGATGAAGCAAACAAAAGAAATCTTTCAAATCTAACACCTTAATTTAATTTAGAGAAATTTAAATTTTTTCACATCTATTATGACATGTAATCTCACGAGTCATATATATGACATATCACTACTTTTAAGCTAGAAGCGTTTTTAAAAGTAGCTTTTGACTCAATTAATTTTCCTTTAAAGTTGAATAACACGTTCAATTTAAGATCAAATACGTAAACCATATTTAATCGTACAGAGCAATTTCATAGCTCAGAAAATGCTTTTTTAAGAGACAAAAGTTCAGCAGCGTACCTGTGACGAGCTTTTTTCAGCTTCGTCTGCATAACGTTTGAGGCTGTCGGTTTCAATTAGTCTGGCAATACCAGTTTTCCAGACCTCCCTTCCAAGTTTATCTATCAGACAAAACCATGCAGAAAAAGAATCAGAATTCACTGCGATACGAATTATACTATATTACTATGATTAATCACCCAGAACTAAAAATGATGACATTAGAATATTTTAATGACGTAATAAGTACCATGATTTTTTTGCAAGTGTTCTATTGTCTCGTTCAGGTTTTGTCGCCAGCATTTCTTAATATGTGTCACATAAACTTGTTTCAATCTTGGAGTTCTGAGAGGCTGCTTCACAAACGTGTTCATGTTTGGAACATCCTCCACTCTAACCATCTTTAACTCTGGCAGTTCACCAAAATCAACATCATCTTCACAGAAACTGGTGAGTGTTGGCATATGTTTAAGCACAAGTGTCTCCAACTTCTGGAACACTCGTTTACTATTTCCTCCTCCTCCTCCAAGAACTTGAACCACATTTTCACATCCATACAATGATAGCAATCTCAGAAGGGAGAGATGTTCGGCCACCGGAATGGAAAATAATTTTTCCATGATTCCACAACGCGTGATTTTAAGATCGGCCAGACTTTGGAACACTGGAAACTTAGGTTCCTGCTTCCACAGCTGCATATTGGGTAAGTTAGCCAACTCCAGTAATTCTAACATTTTCATTATACCCTCCTCCTTTACGTCGTCAAATAATACACGCGCTAAACTCCTCTGCAACAGAATATATATTTAAGCCATAAATTTAACGCTGCATATTTAAACGTTGGGATGATCATCATCGCAACGACGAAGAGATCACATGAAATACCTTTGAAAAACAGATTTACTACCTTGTCCAGTGAGTGATCTGCTGCTGCTTTAGGAGAAATGCTCCCTGACAATGTCCCAACCTCAGGACAGTTGATTATTCTCAGTTTTTTGAGTAATGGAAATTCACACGTCTCCGAGGACAAGAATGAAAGCTTTGGTAGATTTTCAAGAACAATAGATTCTAAAGGACTGGAAGTTTTCTCGTCCCTTTTTCCTCGAACAATAGATTCTAAAGGACTGAAAGTTTTCTCGTCCCTTTTTCCTCCTTCTACACGGTCAGTGGCAATCTGTTCCAAAATGTTACAGTCAGAAATCTCAACCACTTTCAGATTCACGCATTTTGTGGGCAGTTCCAGGCGTCCAAGAGAACTGCAATTCCTTACAACCAGTTTATTCAACTGGTTTGACCCTGCAATCCTCATATAACTCAATTTGCGCAAAGAAACCACTTCCAGGCTGGACAATTCCAGGCCTTCCAGCATCACCCTCTCCAATATAGGGCATGCGTGCTGCAGAAAAGAGCTTCAAGATATTATTTGAGCCACAGAATATTTCACATTAATAAATTGTAATGCCTCATGAATACTTAACTTTGTGACGATGTTCAAATTAGAGGACTGAACAAGATTTATTATTGTACGTACCATCATCTCTTTCTGCGGCACACCACTAGATGTCCCTTCAATGGTTGGCTTCTGGTTGCTTAAAAGTTCGGTAGTAAATTCAGTCAATTTGGGACACCTTTTTATCGTCAATCTCAGTAGATTAGGAAATCTGACATTGCAATTCGCTGAGCTGAACTTGGTCAACTCTGGGAGGTCTGCAAGAGAAAGATCCTCTAAACTATGAAATGATCTCTCCTGCCTTTCCTCGTTGTCCTGTACGACGTGTTCCAGCGTCTTACATGACTCTATATTCAATTCCTTAGGAAGAACAAGTTTTTCCAGCAAAACAATCGAAAGTGGACCCCTGTTCCATATGCATTTCAAATTAGGTAACGAAAACAATCGTATTGTCTGCAAATTGGGGAATTCAAGATTTCCTTTTTCAGCAGCAATTCCTGTGAGATCGAAAACCTGTTCCAGCAGGTTGCACCGTTCCACTGTCAGTTGCTCAAGCTTCCTCGACCGGCGAAGCAAAATGGACAAAAATTTGTTCAACTCATTGTCGCAATGGAAGGCCTCTACAGTTTTCAGTTGCCTGAAAGATGAATCATGAAGCTCCATTTTCATATAATTCTGCAACTCCTTGGAGTCATCGATCCTTAAATTTTCAAGTTTGGAGATTTCATCCTGCAAAATAATGATACCAGAGTCAGTAGTATTAAGTGAGGAACAGTATTGAAAACCTTTGTTCCTGTGTGCTTTGTGTGTGTGGGTTATATTCTTAAAAACTGTTCTCTTAGTATAAAAATGAAATTCTATCCTTGAGCTTCGTTATATTTTCATTTCCATTCAAATGATGTGAGAAGAACTAAGGAAGAGAGTACTTACAGTTAACTCAAAGAGATGACCGATGTTGCTCTCAAGATCTTCATGTGCCCACGGCTGGCAGTTTTTCACAGTGACTTTCTTCAAAAGAGATCCGTCCACCTTTCCCAACATTGACTTGCCAATGTTGGGACAGGAAGAAACTTCCACCGTATCCAACTCAAGCCATTTAACACCGCGACCACCATCCCTGCTGGAGGACGACCCAGTAAATTCTGGCAACTCGTCCAGAATTAGGGTTTTCACCCGAGGGAACACAACAGGATTTGCACTCGTTGTTCTTTCTTTTGTTTCTCTTTTCCCAGTATGCTCTTTGATGGAGGAAACCCTTTGGGCCATTGATAATGAAAAACTGAGAGAAAAAATGGAAATAGAAAAGGGGAAATGAGACAAGCACAGAGAGACGAAGTTATATAAAAGAAGCTAACCATTACAATGAAAAGAATATCCCTGGACAGTCATACCTCTTTCCACTATTTAGGCCCACCTTAGTTGCATTTTGCATAAAGTTTTCTATGGAAATACACCCCGCTTACCAAAAAAAAAAAAGGCTAGAGAATTATTGAAGTATACATTTGCACTTTAAATTTGTGAATATTTGATTCATTTGATTTGATTCCCATATTATTATTGAGGAACAAGTTATAATGCATTTCATATAATTTTTTTTTTTGCCAATATAACGTTTTAAAGTAATTCTTACGTAAGAGTCAAGTGAGAATTAATAAATCGCATAATACTTTTCCTTCCAAAAATCAAATTAGACTCCCACTTCCCCTGTAAAATTTTCAAATAATGATTTTTATTTCTAACGAAGTCACTCCATTTCATTCTATCTTAAACTCTAGTAACCTAGAATTTGAAGCACTTTCATTCTATTTATAAAGCAAATTATTATTAACTCTAGTAACCTAGAATTTGAAGCACTTTCATTCTATTTATAAAGCAAATTATTATTAACTATGA